GCTGCCAAAGACAGTGCTGTTCCAGAATGCTGAAATGATGAAACACGGTTTTTGTTTTTTTTTTCCATCTGTTTGACAGGTAGAGTGAAAAACAGGAACTTGCCCCTGTCACAAATTGGTTCTACTGTATGATTTATACCTTTTCTGGTATTGATCATAGTGGCGATGTCCAGAGGTGTCCATCATATTATAGATTCTGGTCAGAGTTGGGAGGATCATATTTTCTTCCACATTACTCTGGGTGAATACTCCATCCTGTGAAACCCTGGATCTTTACAATATTTCTCAGTGTCAGGAAATGTAACCCCATGGTTGACTGAACAAAATGTCAAAGGGGCTTAGCTGTAAGCCAGCGACGCTGCTCTTTATACGATTCCGTGGACCAACTTATATCTTCACTGTGAGCTCCTTAATGGATCATAGCTGTCCATCTATTGAGTGATGCTGCTTGTGTTGCCAGGGCGATGACTTATTCCCCTGCATCCACTGCTCCTCTGGAGAAACGCTAAGTATCCTGAAGAAAGCTCAAAACATATGGGGACAAAATATTTAGCAATCAAGCTCGCGCTCCAATGGAAGCTCTCATCAGCCAATTAGGTCGGCTGCGGCAGATTGCCGCACAGCGAGGACAGCTGGTTTTGAGGTTTTCACTGTCAACGTGTCAATCATGTGATGCGCTCACAAGTCTGAGGCTGTCAGCGTTGTCGGGAATGTGTCATGAGCAGCGTGCATCACAGAGATGAGAGGAGATGGTGCAGGATGAAGCGAGAGCTCCATCTAGTGATGTGGGGTTATTCATCATGTTCTGACCGCAGAGCTCTGTGCTAAATCCCACTATTGCACTGAGGTTGTCGAGAACCAAGCTAAACCTTCTTATGAAGTTATAAACCTACAATCTCTTGATTTAGTCGAGGTATTACTGCACAAATACTTAACAAAGCAGTTACTCCCTCACAGTATTCAGAATTTATTTAAATCTGGAGAGAGTAAATCCAAGAACTCAGGGGACTAGGTCTGTTATTTTAATAACGTCTAAAAAATATATTTATAAAGAGACAATATCATCTTCTTTGTTTGTTGTTTGTGTTTGTTTCCGACTTTACTGATCTTCAGACCTTGTGGGAAGACAATAAATTAACTCTGTGTACAAACAGTCGTGGGTGTAATAAGTTACTGCCTCAGGCTACACATGTTTGATCCCCACGTATTTATATTTGCTTTGTTGTTGCTTTGTACCAAACTTCGTGTGGAAACAGAAAATGTGGTGCAAACAACAGAATGAGTGAAAAGTATTTAAAGTTCTATTTAATATAAAAAGTCTGTTGGTGTTGTAAATATTTCAATGTTATCAATTTATGATGTAATAAAATGCTTTTTTATCAATAAAGAGTTTATTTAGACGGTGCTGGTTTTCATCTGACTGTCATGCTTGGCTAAATAAAAATATACGAGAGAGAGGGAGTAACATAGGCAACTGGCCGAGGACCCTTTATTCCTGCAGGGGTCCCAAAAATCAGAGGTTCACAATGTGGATTTTGGTAAGAGCAGATTTTATCAGGTGAATGATTAAAACACAATATGGGCTAAGGCATGTCCTGCACTACGACTGGGTAGATAAATCTTAAAAATCTAATCCTAATGTCTTTATCACCGTGTTTTAAGTAATAAACATAATTAAGTGGTATTTTAAAGAAATTAAGAGCAGAAAGGGTTTTTGGTTTGTACTGCGTTTGTGTGTATTGTCTTTTGAAGCCACTTTATTAAAAGCTCAACTCATTGTCCAATGAAAACATCAAGAGCTGTAATGGAGGGAGGTAAAAAAAACTTCTTATCAGCTCGACACAGTGGGAGCTCTGTTCTGCAGCCGAACACACATGTGCTTATCTTAGCCTCACAAACTCCTCAGCCCTGCCTCCTCCTCCTCCGACACACACACACACACACACACACATAGAGTAGTTTCAAAGTCCACTCCTAATATGATGTGCCAGTGAGGGAGAAAAAAAAAGAGAGGAGATTGTAGGAAGACAGCTTTTGGTCTGCGAAGCGTTAGGAATCGATGCATCTGTGCCGCCTTTGAACGCTCCCCATGTCAGATGCTGCAATTCAGACGCGATGAGGAGGAAAGGATAAATAGGTTAATTGAAATATTAAGCGAGGCTACACACGGGAAATTGAGTTACCCAAGAGCAGAGCTGTTAGGAAGAAAACATGCAGTTAAAAAGATTCGGTTTTTAAAAAGGCTCTTGTGTTATATCTTCGCCAAAAACACGTTTATCAATTTCACAACACACACACACACACTGCAAACAGAAAACGTGCTGCAACAACACAACAAAACAGAACTGTGTTCAGGGGACAATAAAAAGTGATGAACTTGGCTGGGACGCTATCACCTCCCATATTGCGAAGTTGTTTTGGCCCAGATTTGGCCCAGATCCACCCACATACCACATGGAGTGTCAGCACCGGGGCGGCCCGCTCCTGTTTGCCAGATCTCAACCACGAGTGAGCCACAGCAACCAATGGTGCCAAACAAGGTCCGAATTAGTTTTGTGCTATTTGGGCCTTACTCAACATTTATCACATGGGCCACTTTAGGTTCACATCCAGATTCTAATTTACCTAGAGCACCACATGTTTGCCAAAACGAGGCCCACGTTTGTTTTTTGGGATGTTTGAGCCACATTTGCTATTTTACAAATGGGCAACATTAGGCTCAAATCCATTTTGTCCTGGCCACAAGCAGAAGTGTTGCATCACAGCCAGGTGTGGTCCACATCTCACATTGACTCATTGCACAACCGATGATGAAGTGGGTTATAAATACCATCATGCATTGCACTTGCGAAGTTGACGGGAAGGATAAATGGCGGCGAGACGAGAGGGCAGCAGGTCTCAGAGTTTTTTTTCTCTGGTGATTCTAATTTTTCTTATCAGAAATTTCTGAATTATGGTGAAGATAAAGACAGAGGGCGTCGGCCCTCATCACTAAAACTCTCTTGACGTCGGTGTCATGAGCTTTAGTATGAATGGTAAAGTATGTGGTTCCGAACACAACACGAGTATTTAGTTGTGTTGGGAGTATTTGGGAGTATTTGTGTGTTTTTAAAGTTCCAGTGCGTTGAGCTCTTCGGGCCACCGCACTGTTCACACCGAATCAAATCCCTCCGGGATTCTTCAGAGGACTTTCTTTTCTGATCCGGTGCAGGTTGTGGTGCAGTGAGCCTTCAGATGTCCTTCACCATGCTGAGCTCTATTTGCTCCTACTGCGCACAGCTGGCAGTTTCAGACATTTACTCGCCGTTGCCACCCACGGCCCGCTCTCCGTCAGAGTTATCGCAAGTCTGTCTTACTCTATCTTTACCCATGAACATACAGAAAGGATGGAGGCACAAAGGCAGGGCAAGAAACCTTTGAGCAGAGACAGGAGAAGAATATCAGAGAGGAGAAAATGAGGTAGTCTGACTCCACAAAATGAGAAAGTGGTCCATCTCTGTCCGCGGCAAATTAATAGGGACGAGACGGCAGGTCAGAGATGATTAAGAGCGTAATAAGTCCAGAGATCATGTGATCCTGAAGCCTCCTGCAGTGCTGCTGCGTTAACGCACCTTCATATTTAGCTTTGTCAGTTCGACTCTTAGAGAGAGAAGAAGAAGAAAAGAAAAATATTTGGTAAATAGAAGCAACATAATAATAAAACAGCTTCAGCTGGAAAAATGAGATGAAACCAAAAACAAATGAAAAAACAGGAAAAAAGATTTTGCTTCTCCGTGTTCATACAGACATGCACATGAATTAAAACTGACCTTTTTTTTATCGGCATGTGGTGAGACAACTCTAAAGAGAAAGAATATAACAGTCAGTAAATCCCCGTCGTGTAAAGTGTAAAGGTCAGATTGAGTGTTTGTGTCCGTAGCCACTGAACAACGCTTATTTTTAAAAACTGACAACACTAAACCAGAAATGCCAAACACATGAATAATGTGAAAAATACTTTCTTTGCTGCGACCTTGATATTGAGAATTAAGTCGTGGAGACAGTCTGACAGTTTGAGCTGAGGCAGAGCTTTCTGTCGACACCCCACTGCTGATATATAATTCGCTGCTGGATATTTTAAATTACAGACTACGGTAATTCTCATCTTGTGGAATGATTGCCTTGCTTATTTCTCTCCCTAAGAATTAGGGATTCACTGCCGATCCACACAGCAAAAGTCCGAAAAACTGACTTTAAAGTTAGAGCGACTTCTTATTTGTCACAGTTCCAAAGACAAATTGCTGAATGTGTTTGATCAGACGAAGGATCAAACCTCCATATTTCTGTTTTATTTTTTTTAAAGCAGCTTAAAAAAGATCCATGTGGCTTTTTGTAAAACTTTTTATTTATTTTTTGTTTTTATTAACTAATTACACTCAGTAGGGAGCAACCAACAAACAAACAGAATGGGGGGGGGGGGCGTAATCATTAAAAAACGGTTTGATTGAATGCATCATTCCTCCAAGTGTCAAGGAAATCAGTTCTGTAGTAATTCACCATCGCAGATAAAAACATAACTTCTTTGGTTTGAGGTAATAATTATTTCTTTCATGACATCAACAGTGTGTTCTCGGATTACACCCCCCACACACTCATACATATTCCTCTGCTTGACTTCCACCTTTTCCTCCATATCTGCAGGAACGAGGGTGTTTTTGTATAAAGACGGAGCAGGAGACAGTATTTATTATAACCTGCTGGAGCCCCGGGGCCTCGCCACCTCATATTTCATCCTAATGTGTCTTCACTCAAAGCCCCCGTTTTTTTTTTTCTTTTCCCTGAGTCTCGCCGTGGCTGCGGAAACTTCCGAGGAGGGGAACAACAATGGCAGAGCAGGTGACTGTGTGTTTCACTGCATGTCTCACCTTGGCCTTATCTGGGGCTTCCATATCTCAACTGATTAAACTGCCTAAATTAGACCGTGCTCTCGCCAGACGTCCCCGGGGAGCCGGAGAGGAACGATGGGTTTCTGCTGCAGCGGGGAGCACGGCGGCAGTGGCGGTGGCGGCGAGCTTTGCTGGGGACGCCATTGTGTGTCCTGCTGTACTGGATGGGTGGGCCCCACTGTGCTGCTCTGCACGTATGGGTTCTTCTCCATGATGAGGCCCATAGAACCCTTCATGACGGAGTTCCTCACAGGAACCTACAAGAACCTCACCACGGAGCAGGTGAGGCACCGAGATCTATAACATACATCACGTGACCACTGTAAATAAACTGAATAACACACATGAATTTACAGTGTGAACGACAAACTGATGATAAACTCTGATAATTAAAATGTGCATACTTAGAATATATTCAGGGACTAATAACATTAGTTCTAAGCAACAATTGATATGTAAATACATGTAAATTATACAGTCTGTAAATGTCAGTATAATTATATATGATTTTCCATCCCATTACGTGCCATTATGATTTATTAATACTCTTGTTTACCACCAGTGTATGTGCATTATTGTTTTTCACGCGTGCCGTAGGCCTTTTTTCTTAAACCCGTGAGGGAGAGAAAAGCAAAAGCAAAGAAGTAAAAGAAGCGTCTCAAGCAACGTGTGCAGCTCAGAGTGGCATAAACCTGACAACTTAAAAACCCTCTCCTCTTTATACGGTGTGATTCTGCTTCGTGTGTCTCTCGGCAGCAGTGGCAGGAGATAAACAGGTATGAACACACGGGAGCGGGTGAGTGCAGTGGGGTCGTTCGGAGACGTTTGTGAGACTCTGGTTGATACTTATTTTTTTCTCTTTTCAACCTCGATCCTGTCGGGAGCTGGATCAACTCGGATCCAAATGACGCAGTGTTGAGATTTGGGATGGGAGCACATCGTGAACCCAAGTGGACAATAACAAACTTCTTTAGTGGCGTCTGTGTGAACGAGAAATTTAATTCCAGAGTCAGGATTAAACATGTGAATTCTGTCCTGGTGGGGGCAGTAGAGGGAAGATCAATCCACATAAAGAAGAAGCTTTTACCGGAGAACTTCCACTCACACAACCACTAGGGGGCGCTAGTGAGGTAACTCGTAATGAATGAGGCCTGTAGAGCTGAGACGCCAGAACATTATATTCTCTCTCTGTTAAGTTATTTATTTAAAGTGCAGTAATCACTTGTTGTATGAATAATTGAACACTTTTCATCTCGGAGGATTACTTTACATTATTCACTGATGATTATAAAACAATCAGATATAAAGATGTCATGTTAACAAGTCACTGAGTGGATTCAGAGTAAAGTTTGGTTTCAGCTCCTTCACATCTCTGCAGCGACGCAGCGTTCACACAAATTACAGCCGCTGAACTCTTTCGATGCTCAACCATGTATGATGCGAATTACTTTCTCCACTTGTGGTCCTGAATGGCTTTTCAGAGTTTATATGCAGCTGCACAAATTAACTAAGTTTGCGAACAAAGTGCCAACTCCACAAATTCTATTCTGCACCGTATCAACAAGAAAGTGTGAGTTAAAAAAAATATATTTCTGTTGTCACTGAAGCAGCCTGAGGTCTTAAGGTGCGTTCAGACTCACAAGTAGTTTTTTTAGTTGAATAACCAAATGTTTTTGCCGAAGCCAGGCTCCTCTGGACTGTGCTGACTTTAGCCGCAGCTCTTAACTTGAAGTCCGGTTTGTTTTTGTTATTTTTCTTCAATTTTATTCACATGGCAACGTGCAGCTTGTTCCTTCAGCTGTTCAGGCCCACTCACATCTATTTTTAATCAATATACTGAAAATTATGTTGCCACCGATCGATGGGAGCGAAACAGAACAAAAGTAACCACCACATCTCCTGCACCACCGGGTCAAGAGGAACGTTTGGCCGCATGGTCTCAAATTAAGAACCGAGAAATGTGGACGTGTCCTCCGAGGGGGGATCAATAGATGTCTCACGAGGCATGATCGTTAAAATTATCCCTGATTTGGAAGCAAGTGTAGTTAAACACATCTCAACATAATATAACCAGATTGTGTGTGAGTCGTACGTCTCTCTCAGTCTCTGCCATCTTGTTACACCTCTTTGTTTAGGCTTAGTGTTATTGACATAGACACCGGGGCGGGTGAGGGGTTAAATCACATGATTGGCACGTTATTTAATTTCCTTTTGGTTATTTTGGAAGTGGCAGACTCCACCGAGGCAGAAACGATGAGCGTAAGAGTGTAAATATTGTATGTGTAATGTTAAACAGTGAATATTTCACATATTTAAATCTGCTGTCAACCATAAACATTATTCTGTGTCATCTTTGAATTGTATTTCAAGGCTGAAATGGAACAAAAAACAATCCAACAATTGAATTTAATTTGCATAATATTAACGTGTCACGTCACAAACAACAAGGTTTTCATCAGCAAAGAATAAAGTTGAATATAACGTCTGATTCCTCTTCTGTCCTTTCACAATTACCAGGAATCCTTTTTCTAGAAATAACGAGGTCTCTGTCCGCCCTCACATTTCCAGGTGACCAGACAGGTGTATCCTGTGTGGACCTACTCCAGCCTGGTCCTCCTCATCCCCGTCCTCCTGGTGACAGACGTCCTCAGGTACAAGCCTGTAATCATCCTCCAGGGTCTCACCTACGTCGCCGCCTTCCTGCTGGTGCTGGTTGGCTCGGGGGTCCGCTCGACGCAGCTGGCCTTCCTCAGCTACAGCGTCGCCACGGCAGGAGATGTGGCCTATTTCTCCTACATTTACGTGGTGGTTCACGCCAGCCGCTATCAGCGAGTGACCAGTTATGTGAGAGGGGCCATTCTGCTGGGCTACGCTGTGGGCGGCCTCCTGGCTCAACTGCTGGTGTCCCTGGGTGGCGTGTCCCTCCACTGCTTGGCTATCGTGACTCTCATCTCTGTCTCCATCGCACTCATAACCACGTTCTTCCTGCCCATGCCGAAGACCAGTATATTTCTTGACGGGACAAACTCCGTACGACAGAGCCAGCCACACGAGGGCGCTCACGACTTCTCCAAGAGGGTGAAGAGCGTCATGGCTGCAGAGCACATTGGAAGGATTTTCCAAAATCTCCTCCTGGACTGTAAGAAATGTTATTCGTCAGTGGCTCTGCTCTTCTTCTGCATATGGACGGCGACGGGGAGGTGCGGCTTCTACCAGGTCTCAGGCTACGTGCAGCTCCTCTGGGTTCACATACAGCCTCATAACGTGACGGCGTACAACGGAGGGGTGGACGCCGTCAGCACTTTGTCAGGTATCTGAGGCTGCGCTGATTCGTCTTGGAAGTTTTCAGGTTATTTTATTCTGACACAAAAAGATAATCATGTGTTATCTTTATGGTTAAAAACTTTATTATCAAAGCGGCAAATACAATTTCCACTGGACCAATTTTCCATCATCCATATTAAGAATTTTTAAATAAAGACAAAATATTAAATATTAGAGTGGTACATTTAGGGATAGTTCACCCAAAAATGAAAATCCCCTTATTATCTACTCACCACGTTGCCGATGGAGACAAACTCACGCGGTCGCTGATTTTCGTCACCTCTGTCCACCACCTATGTGGATGTGGACGCTTGTGTATAATTTCTGAATAACATGCAATCGAGCCACAGATCCTTCAACTCAATCTGTACTACACAATATTTCCCAAGTACTTTCCCGTCTTTTGGTTTCTCCCTGAGAATTCTACATATCGATGCAAACCAAAAACATTCAAATCCTAAAACCTCTTGAGTAATTCTGAATGGAACCCGCTGTAAAAAAAAAGAAACGTTTCAGGTTGTTGTGATAGAAACATTTTCATTAAAGCTTAGTGCTGTTGTACACATTCCACTAGAAAAAACATAATTGAATAAATAGACAGAAACAAAACACATTCCCTTCATTCTATCAGCGTTACACAACGCCGCAAAGCATGGGAGACAACGGGAGCAGCATTAATTAGACCATTTAATTGCCTGCTCTCATCCCCAGATGGGTAAAGCAGCAGCTGCCGCCATCCAGTCAGAGCACTTTTATTGATTATAGTACAGATACATTCCTGTATTCCCTGGGCACCAAAGGCAATTATTCTGTGTAAACCACATCCAGCTGTATGCCTTTCACTTTTAAATGGTTGGGCCCAACATGCAGTCAAGCTGTAGAGCCCGTGTCTGATATTTCCCATGTCGTATTTTTCTGCATTCATCCCAGAGGAAAATAAAAACCCTGGTGAAAACCGGAAATATGAATATGGATTTCCAGCATCATTTACAATAAACGTCACTATTTTCACATTCAGCATATTAATATGGAGCTTGAACGCAACATTTTTAGCAGCTCATTAGTTTTATGATAAAACCAAATGTGTGTGCAGAGCAAACAGAGATATATCGTGTTGCACAGTGACTTTCAAGGAAGTTGCAGGACACCTCGACCCATTTATTTATCTCCGGTCTGAAGGAGTAAGTATACAAGTTATTTACACATCAAACATCTTTATCAGTCCGAGCTTAATGCATTCGCTGCATAGTTTCCCTCATTGATGTTGGTCATAATCTGTAGTTTTGCAAAATTGTCCAGTTTCAATTTTCCTCTCGTTGGTATTTGACTTGTAAGTCCACAGGAAGTTCTCGGCTAAATATTCAAAAATTCAACGCAAGCAAATAAGACGTGTTTACTTTTCAGACACTTTAAAAGAATCGTTATCTCTCTCTCGATTTCACATACATGTTTCTCAATAAAACAGTATAGCAAAGACATCAATGCAGTATTGACCATAAATGCATAATTTTTTCCCAGTTGTATCCCTTATTTATTTAATTTGATTTAAGGTAATCTTCTGTTTATTCTATTCAATCTTTTTGCATTGTTTAAATTATTATCTCTTCAAGGTGACCAAAGTCCAGTTTAGTGCATTACTCACCTTACATGAGTTAAACCAACTGGATAGTGAGGAATAAGTTGTGGACACTAAAGTAATGTCAGTACTCAGAGGTATTACAGTGTATTTAACATGCAGTCCTGCAGTGTGCACACCCTGCAGAGCTCAGCTGCGTTATTGATCCCTCTCGATGAAGTGGTACAGCCGTCTCCTGCTGACCTCGCTAAGCTTCAGATAGACACGACTGGAAACCGCTCTAATTATTCAGTCTCCGTTTGACCCTCCCTCTGCTAATCAGAGCCCAGGGACTGATTAGGCTCTTCTTAAATACACACAGAGGGGCGATCTTTATGCTGGACGCTTTGTGCTGAACGACCAAAGACGAGAATCAGGAATCAAAGGAAAAGTACACATTTAATAGAGTGAAGCAATTATACTCAGCCTCTCTTTACACTGCAGTGGATAAAGAGTTCAGAGTGGACGGTTCCTCGTCTGCAGGGTATTAGTGACGAGTCTCTTTATTTACAGACTCAGGTTCTTAAGCTGTAGCCATTAAAGGACGTTAGACACATGTGGTGGTTACAGAGGACATGTGATGAATGTGCAGTAAGAGGGAAAAGCAAAATGAGGTGATGGAGACAAAAGCAGGGGATAAAAAAGAGGACAAGGGAAAGGGGGGAGAAATAATCAATAGTCCACAAATATCTGTTTGGAGTCCACAGTTTTATATCCGTCGGTCCATGGGGACAAACGTCTCATCATAACGACCACGTGTGATGTAAAAAGAGCTGCACTGTGCCATCCTGTGGCTGAAATGAGAAACTTCTTTTTCCAAAACTGCTGAGAGAGGAAGCAGTGGAGGAGAAGAGTCGTATAATAAACCCATTGTGTGCACCAGTGACAAACTTAAATATAAAGAATAAATCATAATCCTCGATAACTTTTTTGATACGGGCAATATAACACAAAGTGATTTACAGAATAAAAGCAATAAAAACAATTCACATTCAGACAGAGAGAAAAAGGTTCAAAGATAAAATAATAGTATAAGAGATTAGAAAACACATGAAAACAACAAAATGCTAGAAGAACAGTAAGTCAAAGAAGTCGGACTGCGAGAAACAAAACAAGTGACTAAATATTTGAATAAATAAATACAAGAGCTAAACAGGATTTTGTGAGGACACCGTGACCTTGAACTTTGACCTTTGACCACTAAAATCGAATCACTACATTCATGTAACGTAACGTATGTTCCAAATTTGACGGGATTTTCTGAAGGCGTTCCTGAGATATCGTGTTCACAAGGCAAAACGAGTGTCTCGTGTGGCCACGGCGACACTGAGTTTTGTTCTTTGACTCCTAACATCTATTCCTTCAAGGCGTTCTTGAGATATCAACGATTAGAAATACAGACTGACGACCCAAAAACAGAAATGAATCCACGTGCTCCAGATGTGATGTGACTGTGGGTTGAGTTTTATTTCCTTTAGACTTTTACGAAACTTCAACACGTTTGGTGATCTGGTCTCTGGGGGGGTTCTGTCGAGTTCTCACACAGTGGCGGTGTTTTCCTCCAGGAGCCGCAGCCACAGTCGCTGTGGGCCACATGTCCCTGGAGTGGTCGGCGTGGGGGGAGCTGATCCTGGGGGGGTTCACGCTCCTGATCGCTGCGGCTGTTTTCCTGATGGAGCTGACTGACAACATCTGGATCAGCTACCTGTGTTACATCATCTTCAAAACTGTTTACATGCAGCTCATCACCATCTGCACGTGAGAACACGTCACGGTTATGTCAGAACTCAGAACCTTTGTGAAGCCCCCGTTGTTTTCACTCTTCACTCTGCTACAAACTAAATCTGTAAACGTTGAGGCCACATTTACAGAATGAATATTAATTATTTATTTACCTTTCACACAAGAAATCTCCGAGGCGTTCAGGTGAGGGGTGGGGCAGCAGGCGGAGTCAGGACGACATCGACACAACTTTCTCGATATCACACATACAGCCCCAGAATGTCTATATTAACTTAGATTTGAATCATTCTAGTTTTCTAACATGTTCTCGTCACTTAAACCCTGAATATCAACTACTTACTGAATGAATCTGCACTTTAGATTCCCTGTGTATCACGTCCCGTGTGTTCTCTGACAGTTTTCAGATCGCCCAGGCCCTGAACAGGAAGCGCTATGCACTGGTCTTTGGCGTGAACAGTTTTGTCGGCACCGTCCTGCAGAGCGTCCTCACTGCCATCGTCATCAACACCAAGACTCTGCACCTCACCATCACCTCCCAGGTAAACATGCTCCGAGGCGTGAGGTCAGAAGTAACTCCACGATGAATATGTATTTGAAAATGATGCTGTTTGAGGAGTGTTTAGAGAAGGAGCCCGACCATAAGAGACAAAAAGAAAATATTAAAGTTCTCTTCCACTTCTATTTCCAGTTTTTCGTCTACGCCTCGTACTTTGCAGCCATGTCCCTGCTGTTCACAGTCAGAGGTGTGTACACTGCGCTCCACAGGAGACGGGCCGCTGTGGGCGAGCAGCCGGAGAGAGACACCAACCTGCCACAGTTCACCCGTCTGTGACGCGTCCCTGAGGACACACTCGTTCTTATTCACTCTCATTTCTTAAGTGATAATAATCCTCAAGATAACAAACAATAATCAATTAACCAATTAAGGTGTTCAAGATTCTCCTTCCACCTCAAAACGACAGTTTGTTAAATCCTGTTGATCACAGATGGAAAACTTAAAGAGGATGTGCAGTCCCTACATGTAGCCACTAGAGAGCGATACCTGCATAATGTAAAACCAGCACTACCTGAAAGCTGTTTCCTGGAGAAACATTATTTTATTGGTATGTTTCTATGTTAATATGTTTACGTGTTGTGAGGTGCAATGTGTTGTTTTCAACTGTTGTGTGTATTTGACATCTTATATACAGTCGTGGCTTTTTATTTTCAGAACAAACCGTTTAATGTTATTTTTACCAGGTCGTTTAGAGTCAACGTGACATCGGTGCCATGATAATGTTTATTGTGATTCTGTGCGATACAAATAAAATGGACTTGATAATTATTTTTTTGTCTTCTCCACATTAAAGGTTCAGTGTGTAAGATTTAGGTGAAAGGAACTTTTGGCAGAAAGGGAAATATAAAAATAATCCGAGAAATGTTTTAACTGGTGTGTTTCATCTTAATTGTATGAATTGTTGTTTTCTTTACCATAGTTCTTTATAATTAAATACTTTATATTTACATGGGGGGGGGGGGGTCCTCTCGTGTTTTTTACTGTCGTCCAAACTGGCAGGTTCTCCTTCGTGTTGGGAAGGGGAGGGGGTGAGATGAGGAGTATTCAGCTGCAACACGACGCTTCACCTCTAGATGTCGCTAAATTCTACACGCTGAACCTTTAATTCAACTACGTGTAAAAAGTGTTTCTTACTTGTTTGTTGGTTGATTGATAAAAGAGCAGAAGATCAACCATCTGGTGGCTGGCTGCAACATAGACCCCGCCTCCTCCATGTTAGCAAATGGGACATGGACCAAACTAAATTAAAATCAAAAATCCATGTAGAATAAATGGGTTCTGTGATTTTTGGTAGTTCTTATCTTACGCTGATGATGATGTTCAAGTTTTCATGTCAGGAAACTGATTTTCACAAAACTTCAGGTGTCAGGATCAACTGCAGGCTCTACATGGCCGGTAGATGTGGATATGAATGGTTTGGTGCATGTCTATGTGTGTCAGTGCTCCAATACACACGAGGCCCAAAGGATAAAGAGAATAAATAATGGATACACAATCAGAGAACTGAGGGCAATCATTTTTAAACCATTCACAATGTCAGGGTAACTTCTGCTCTCTCTCTTCCAGATGCTGCACAGCATCAACCCTGAGCACACACACACATTCTGCGAATGTATTTTACTGCCACTCAGAGAGACACTTTATGGTTTGCACTAAATGTTTTAAGGCTCGATCAACAAAAAGCTCTGAGTAAATCTGGTGCATTAGTGGCACTTTGGTTTAGCAAGAAAGTGAAGAAGCGTATCTTGTTGCCAGGTAACAGATGCATTAGTTTCCGAGGCTCGATGAAAAACTCTGTATCTGTTATGGTTTCATGTGCATTCATGTATATTTCCGAGAATTAAAAGTAGGTCATGCAACATAAACATGCAACATAATTATCAGCCTCCTTAGAATTTGACCTTCTAAAAAATCAATGCAGTGCTGTGGTCCTCAACAGGGGGTGTGCAAACCTGAAGCTCTAATGATATGAGAGATGTCCGTCCTCATTCATAAACAATCAGGCAGTAAAACACAAATGAAAATGGCCCCCTGAAGTGGTCAGATGATGCATGTGTAGTCCCGTCTGACCTATAATTCAGTTGTTATAACAATGAGCTAATTAAGGTTCCAAGATGAGTAACTGGGTCAACTATCACCTGAAAATGAGCTGGCATACTGTACGAGTCACACATGCTAATTGATCGCATCGAGCCGACGACGTTTGCCCCGGTTTTGTCTGGTGTTTTCATTAAGATGCTGATTAAACGTATAGTGAAGAAGATGCGTCTTTGCTTCTCAACCCGAGACTCGAACAATTAAAACTGTCTGATTAACAGGCGTTAAATAACTAATTTCAGCCTAATGTGTTTATGCAGCTGCCGCATTTATCAGCTTTTGCACACACGGTGTGATTGTCTGCAAATGAAATGGAAGTGGAAACTGTGTGTGTGTGTGTGTGTGTGTGGTGTTAAGTGGTTGAAGATAAAGGTCATTTAGTTCTAACACACAGCTACAGAGGAGACCATGGACTGTAGCTGTGTCTCATTTCAGGGATCCTGCAGAGAACGTGGTCTACCTGACCTACGACAACGCAATTTCTGAATGTCATGACTAATTTTAGCTTTGTAGTAAATTCTTTGTTGATTTTGACTTGATTTCCCCTAAATCTGCACAAAATAGCAAAACACAAGGAAATGTAGTTTATGGCCGGAGGCGATCGCACAACAGGAAAGAAGAAGTGGGAGATAGAGTACGAGCTTTTGTATTTGTTCGGTAATAAACTTCTTGTTCTTTGACAGAAACACTGGTTCAGAGCTGGTCCAGAGGAACCGACGAACAGAGTTAGCAGACAGGTCCGGACAGATATTTCTAAAGCTGTGCATGCTTGGACAGGCTGTTCCGTCCTTACTGCTGTCATCAAGCAAAAGAGCTGCACACAGCGAGAATGTTTTGATGCCTCTTGGTTTTCGAACGTGTTCAGCTGAATGGGAGCCTGATACTCTCGCGTCCATGTTGTCAGGAGCGCGTCCACACGAGAGTCAAGGTCTTGCGGAACAGACGGTGAAAATGATCTTTCATCACAGTTTCAATGTCCGTCTGTTGAATATGTCACATAACATGTAACATAGATATTTTCTGTACCTGTTTCAAAGTAAAAGCACTTCAGCGTTTCTGTCGACTGGATCTAATTTATTTGTTTGACCAAGGTTTTTATTGTTATTGCAGGACAGGAGGATGTTGAGTGCATAGACCTCTTATCTGACGAAATACAGTGTTGAGTTGTCACACGCTTCACACTCTCTCAAAGTCTTGAACTCGGAGTCAAACCTTTTCCAGTAAACGGTTAATTCTTCCTAAAGGAACTGAAGCCAAATCATGTGAATTAAAAGCAACAGTGCAGTGAGTCATAGTTCAGTCAGTCGTGCTCGTTAATCTCTCTCAGAGGAAGTGTTGTCCGATTAAACTTCTGCTTCATCATCACCATCATCCGCTTATTATCACACGATCAGCTGCTCACTGAGTAAACAGCCGCACGAAAAAATAAATAAATAAAAATTCCATCTCCTCTGAGAGAAAAGAAGCAGCTGCACTTCACCTTTATTGAATAAGAACCAAAAGTCGCAAAGATGAAATAATAAATGAATCCTCTGTAATTATAATAATCACGTGTTGACAGTTAAAATCCTGGATGACTAATGAGAGGCAGCATCATGACAGTTTTCACTGATATGATATTATACTTGATAGATATTTGTACTTCATTGATCCCAAATTGGGAAATTGATGGTAATATCAGATTAGATTATATTTAATAGGATTAGAGAACACTCAGATAATGAATGAGTCATCAGAGCTTGACATCATAGGTCAATGGGGGAATCACATTTCATCTGTGATTCACTCTGATATTTTCTAAACTGTGACAGAACAAAGAGAGAAGGCCTGAAGAGCTTCCTCCTCCTCCTCCTCCTCCTCCTCCTCCTCCTCCTCCTCCTCCTCCTCCACCTCCTCTGTGTTTACACATGTACGGTCAGTAACGAGGGCATTTCCCTCAATAGAGCTGTTGGTCAACACTGACTCTACGGGTGCACTCTGTTATTTATGATTTTATTGTTGACGCTTCCTGTGTCTCACGCCCTCTGAACACCGAGTACAGAGGAAATATTACATGAACCCCTGAACTGGACTTGATGCACGTTATGGACTTTGTGCCTGTTACACATTGTATTTCTATGGCTCTAGAAGTGCTGCACCCAATCATAACCTGAAGTCGTCTTCACGTTCCCAGCTGAGGAACATGGGCGACCTGGAGTCTCTTTGGGATCTACAAAAATAAACTCGACGGGAGAATGCGCACGCTTTTATTTTAACCCTGACATTAGTGCATTAGGACATTTTGGAGACGTGAGTTGGGGAACTGAAGCCAGATTATTGATTCATTGCTAAAATTAAAACCATAACAACCTGCAATGTAAAAGGTATAAAGTCACTCAAAGTAAATTATGGTGAGAAAGCATAAAATAAAAGTTTTTAACAACCACGGTAATAGAAAAATATATATTTTAATAAATATAAATTATAAGATCTCATCTGTAAAATTTCACTCTAACGTTGTCTGGTTTCCTATGTGTCTTCATTTTTGTGTGAGTGTGTTTAATTTAGTGGATTGTGATTATGCATAAAGCTGATGGGCCTGTTTTCTATTATTATACTTCCCTCACTCACTGCCCTGCAATGTGCCTGTAGGTCCACTAGTTTGCAAAGTCCGCTTCCAGGAAGACAAACAGTATTTCCTCCTTCTTTTCTGGAGGGCACTGGTTGATCTGATCTTCACTAATTAACAACCCATGTTAATTTAACCAGATGGTCCTGGATGAATAATGCACCGACAGCCTGTGGGTGTTTGGGGAAACCCTCTCACCTCTTCATCCAACGGTGATGAAACACTGTGTGGGCTCATGCGCACGTGTCACAGCTCCATGCATCACTGTGGGTCTTCCCCTCTTCTCACGACCCCAACGCAAAGACCGACTTCCTCCAGTGCGATAGAAACGTTCCACCATCCACCGCAGCTCGTGTCGCTATCACGTGTCGAGCACGTGGTTTAACACCAATGATTCGCAGGTGAGTTCAGCAGGATGCAGGCGAGCTGCTCGACATGTGATCCATGTGCACGCGCCCCCCCCCCCGTCAAAAGTGTGAACATGGCTGTGAAGATCTCTCGCCCCACCTCCCCACCCCCCCCCTTTTGATCTGAATTTCAAATTCAGATCAAAAGGTATTTTTAATATGTGAATTGAAAATTATACATATATTTTTTGTATATATACATTGAATTATGGCGCCACATAATGTGTGTCCCAGTTGTTTGTACCAATCACTATAGCATAAGGCACAACCGTGTAAAAGTATTTGAAATAATTGTAAAGCCCTGGCAAGTTCTCATGAAGTTAGATGAAGTAGAGTAAAAACTTCTGCTTCCGAGCGAGGATTTCCGACACGTCATCCGGAGAGAGACAGAGACGTGAGTGACATGGAGACCTGTGAGAGAAGCAGCTCTCAGGCTGCGGCGTCATGAAGGTCACACGATGTGCGTGAACACTTCTCTTCACTCTCCCTTTGTGGTTCCGTCCTGGCACTGGAGTCATGCAGTTATTGAGCTGGGAGGATTATGCAAACTTTAATTTCAAAAGCTTCTGTGTGTGTGAGGACAGCTTCCTGTTCAGAATGTGAAGGTTCACATAGTGAGTGATTTAGGAGGGAAGCTATTTCTCGTAATTGGCTGGTGCAGCTGCAAAAGAAGACTGAATTATGACGAGTGAACGGAAATGCATCAGACTTTCTTTCTGTTTGCCTCTGCTTTCTTCACACACACACACATATATATATATATATTGACAATAAAACTTAACTCTGCCACAGCTTTATGAAGTAGACTATTGTACCATTATGTATCATGCAATCTAGAATAAGAATAAAATTAAGAAGGTCCAGTGTGTAAGATTTAGGTGAAAGGGAACTATTGTCAGAAATTTAATGTAGAATAATCCTCATGATGTTTTCACTAGTTCGTTTCGTCTAAATTGTATGAATTGTAGTTTTCTTTACCCCAGAAAAGGTCCTTTATATTTAAATACTTTATATTTACATGGAGGGGACCCTCTCTACGGAGGCCGCCATGTTTTTTACATTAGTCCAGACTGAACAAACTAAACACTTTTGAGTTTTTATGACAATTAAAGTTCACCACAGGTTCTTTTTCATGTTTGGAAGGAGAGGGGGAGGTGAGGGGTGTTCAGCTGCAACATGACACCTCAACACTAGATGTCACTAAATTCTACACACTGTACTTTTAAGTCATAAGTAATATTCGCTGGTGTCAAGTGAAGTGGTCATGACATGCACACGTGTTACATGCAGGCAAATGCATATCCAGTGTTGCTCGTCTTCATCAAGGGCTTTTCGTCACATCACTCTGGCCTTGAATACAAGATCATTTCGATTTCTTTTTGAATATATTTGTCCTCAGATTAACTTCCCAGACAGAATAATGGTGTTAATTGTTCAAGCTGATAAATAATTTTACTCTCGGCATCTCGACCAAAACTCTATGAATGTGTGTTTGTCTGAAACTGAAAAATCTGAATAGCGAGCGAGCCACAGAAGGATTGAGGCTCGGAACATGTGCGTGTAGGCAGAGAGTGTGTGTGTGCGGGATTTTTATGTAACACTTTGTTGTCTATTCAGTGGTACGACTTATCTGTCCCCAGCCAGGCTGCCTCCTCCACACATCTTATCTTCCCCTTCAGATTGCAGGAAGATAAGTGTTCTTCACTCTCTTCCTCCTTTATGTTATGAAGCTTTATCATTTGCACTCTCCCATATGCCTGAGTGCAAACAAATAAAGTTGTAATTAAAACTGTGTGTGTGTGTATATGTGTGTGTGTGTGTGTGCAATATTAACGAAAATTAAGACAAATGAGACATTGAGAAAAATGTAAACGCTGGCTGTCGTCTAACAAATATGTAAATGTTATTATTCTCATGTTAGCGTGTCAGTGTCAATTTGCATTTTCACTGTAGCTTCCGTGTTACACAACATCTATGTACGCACACACACACACTCATCTTCATGTAGTTGGTATTGTTCTTCTTCCTTTCCTCCTTCGCTCCATTTCTCTCTTCTCTCCCAGCAAGAAACTGTCTGTTCCATTGTTTATCTGTATGTATGTCTGTCTCCATGTTCACACTTTATGTTCTTATCGAGTTTTATCTTGCTTCACCAATAAAAACAAATTCAGATTCAGAGTTATTTATTAAGATTAAACATTTTTAATATCTTATCTTGTCGACTTTAAAAATTTTAAAAATCTTGTTGCTTAAGTCATTTTTCAGAACTACCATCCTTGCTCTATTGTGATTTTCAGAAAACGTGATTTTCAGAGTATTTGCCGTCGTATGGGACTTTTATAAAAATGCAACAGCACCTTAAACTTCAGCTGGGATAGATGCAGGACAATGAAGAGAACATCGTGTGCGAGGAGATGATTACCTCAACCACTGGGATCATTTAAAGGCTCATTTAATCTCAGTGGACGAAGCCGCCTGGACGCACTCTGGGTTCATTTTGTCCGTATTTTGGCAGATCTTCTGAAAACTTAGGGATCAAGATGAAACATGCGAAATGCAGCAGTACCACCGGAAATCTGGCAGCGAAGCCGAGCGAGACGACCGTAAAACACGAGGAAGAAATTCCAACAGGCGTGTATATGATGTCATTTCACCCGGAGACGTGGATGAACAGCAGTTTAAGCTTCTGTCTAAACATTATCAACAACCTCCTTCACCGTCGACAGGTTGTTGTCGTCAGAAACTCTCGACTCTGTGCTGCCCTCTACTGGATGTATAACTTACCAACCATGCCGGTGGAGGTGTGTGGGCAGTGAGGCTGACTCGAAGGTATATAAACACAAAAACACAGCCGGCATTTACGCTAGCACGTCGTGCAATAACATCCACAGAAAGTGATCTGCTCTGAGGAACGCAGCGCGACGCAACTGAACTATGTCGCAACGAGCAGCGTTTCTTTTGAAGCCGCACGTACAGGCAACAGGAATGAGTCCTATTGAGGAGCAGTTGTTTTTAACTCATGCAACATAAATACTGGATGTTTTCCCTCATAGTAGTATTACTTATCATGTGCATATTGGGGGATTTTGAATCAAATCCCAAGAGTCACTGCCAGTTCAAGAAACCAGACAATGTTGTGCACGTTTTGAGGAATTATCCCTCGATTGATCGTTGATTGTCATTTCATGTGTTTTCAAATCACGGTTGAAGGTGTGACAGTCTCTCTCCTCGTGCTCTGCTCATTCACAGCCACATCATCCACTGAGCAGCACTTCACCACCTCACAGATGTGCCGGGGTTGTCCATGGAGATTTCCCCGTGCAAACAAAAGCTCTCCTCTCCCCCTCCTGCGTCTCCCGCTCTGATTCCACCCCCTCTGCCGCTCCCTTCATGCATCTCTGCTGCTCTCTCTCCCCTCCACCACCACCACCACCACCACGTTTTCACACCAATGAGCATGCCGCGTGTAGCTCCCACTCTCTGGCATCAGAAACACGAGACGTCTTCAGCGCTGAGCTGAACAGCAGATTAATCCAAACACAACACTTGCATTCTGCCAAACACAGAGAGAGGAAGGGGACACAGGGACCAGCAGCTCTCGCACACACCGGAGTCAAGGTAAAGGATCCATATACATCTATTGGATGACAGGGTGTTATGTAATTTTGCTGTGGACACAGCGCTGCAAGAGAGATCTGGGTCTTTGTTATTCTCTGTGGCTGATGGCTCTGATATCTGCAGCTTTGAATAGAGGCTAAATTAGCGAAAGCATTGTTGGTGAGGTGATTTGACTGAGGATGCAGGAGAGAAATACAAAGCTGCACATGGAACAGCGTCGTCCAGCTGATGCATCGAATGTTGTTATGAATGTTTGTGTTCACTTTGCTTATTCCTGCACGCTGTCAGTAGCATTTCCTGTTGTGCACCCTCCCACCTGCCTGGATGCTGTTAGCTCTCAGGGTTCAGAGTCGGATAAATGCCACTCAGCTGAAAGCCACTGAAGATGGAGTGTGTCTTTGAAGGCCACAACATATTCCCCTCAGGATGAGATGCATCCGAAGCTTTTCTTAACACACAGTTCTGCCAAGCGTGATAAAAGCTTTGCCGTGGTCCACATCCAGTTAGTTTACGTTGGCAGATAGAAGAACAGGAAGTCTATGATGTCATTGTGTTGTAGAAAAATACAGTGACATCAGTGTTGGCGCATAAAAGTTCAAGAGTAAAATGTAAAACACGCAGAAATTACCCGGAGCAGATGTTGTTCATAATGTTCAGTATGAACATTTGAGTTGGCAGCGAGCAGTTTATTATGTTTACCGCCAAGGAGATGATGTTTGCATTGGCCTTTGTTTGATTTTCTGCAGGAATACACAAAAACTTTTTTTGTGAAGGGGGCGGGGACATAACCCAAGGAAGCTCACGTTAAATGTTGGGATGGAGTAACGGACTCTCACCTTGTGGAAACAATGTCAATGGTTCAATCTCGTCCGTAGGAACCGTTGATGCTTGTGCTCCACTAAACTCTTCCCCTCAGGTTTCCTTCGCATCTCAACTGTAAACATTCAGACAACATGCTAAAAAAGGAAATGAAATAATCCAGGCAGGTTTCAGTTTCCAAAATATGCATTTGCTTGGAAACACATATATGGATGTAATTCTTAGGAAACCAGGTTGGCCTTGGTTTTAGGATTTCACAGACATTCAAGATGTGATGGGCTTTTGTTAATCTGCAGAAACTTTTATTTTTCAATGTATTTTTTAATTCTTTGAGCTGCACAAACATTTCCCTTCTGTTGTATTGAGGTTTTGCAGCAGAAACCTCAGATGTGGATATTTAAACATCTGGATTAATAAACCCAAAATCATCTGCAGGGCTAGGACGCCACGTGAGGAAAGTGATAACATGCATTTTAAACATTAACGAACGAGTTGTGAGGCCAACACCGGAGCATACTTATTATGTTGTGAATCTTTTCAAATATAATTCATTCATTCTATTGTCGCTGTGCGCAGCAGCCTTGTCACCACATGAGGTTGATTCCAGCAAGTGCACCGCTGTAGCTCAGCAGCAGCAGTCAGCGTGCGCTGGCTGCATGCACATGACTACACACTTGCAAATCCTGCTCAAGAGAAACGCTTTTAGTCGACAGAGCGACAGGCCCGGGAGTGGAGCCGCTTTCTGCAATGCAAAATAAATCCCTGGAACAAACTGATTACATAAATGGCTAAAGGCAGGATGAGCAATGAGAGGCTTTCACTCTGTCTGCAGCACCGAGCGGTTAAAGCCAAAAGGAACAAAACGCTTTGGTATCCCGGCAAACAGACACAGATTAAAAATAAAAGAGTACAGAGGTGTTCACCTGCATCACAGGGATTGTTATACAAGGTGATGAGGGCGACTGGTTGACTGATAATCCGCTGCTAAATATCCAGAACGATTACAAACACGACAGCCAAATTGGTTTTCTTCACTCTGCCACAGAAATGACAAATTACCTCCAGATTTCCTGCACGTCAACATATCTCCATCACTGGACACGTTTACACAGACAGAAATGTTCTGATGTTATTCAGATTAAAACAATTAATAATCTAAATGAGACACTGACATGGATACAGCATTTTCGTATTTTACCTAAACCTGAATAAGGTTATACAACAAGTGGAGGAATCAGACCTTTGTCCCATTTACGTAGACATGCAGTGAACACACCCGACTGCAGAATCTCCTGCTGCATTCCTTCAGATGTGAAATGCAAACTCAGGAGAAAGTCCAGAAAACAGCTCAAATGGCATTTTGCAACATCAACATACAAAAGTTACCGCCTGCCTGACGTCACATGACCTGGGTTCGAGTTGAAGCTTTTTCAAAATTAGAAACAAAACGCTCAATAAGGTAAACGTTAGCATCGAGCTAACCTAAACTTTGTAACATGTAAGAAGGAAAATGAATATTCTATTAGCGACTCATGCAAACATCATAATTGGAATAATGTCTTATGCAGAACCAGGTCAATGGTCAGATTATTGGTGACCATGTAAAGTAGGTCAATGTATTTTTTACCTGTGCTTCAAAAAAACCCAGACAGACGGAGCTAATTAAAACGAAAAGTCCTTGTGAATTCTTAATTTCCTCAGACTGACATGAGCCCAAACATGGAATTCATCAGAACCAACCCAAAGCCCTTCAGTCCACTCAAATCTCATTATGTCTGAATGTGGCCCACAGTAGATGACAAGCTCTAATTTTATCCCAGTGTTCTCCAGTGTTGTGCCCTTATCATGCTGAACGACCCTGGCACTCGTGTGCTTTTAATAAACCAGTGCAGCCAGTGACGGGCAGATGCACTTGAGTATAATCTGACATCCAGTAGCTGTGAGTCAAACGCTCGGACGAACACGGGGAAGCCTTGTTTGATCTCCCTTCACGCCCCGAGCCGAGCGAGAGCGGCGACGGCTTCAAGCAAAGTTTTGACAGTCATCTGATGTGAAGGCAAAGCTGCATGAACACGTTTCCATTTTCTATTTTTATACCGTGTTTAAAAATAAATCAAGAGGCACGACATATACTGAGAGAATCTGTAACACAGATACTCCAGAATGAATTTAAAGATGGACGATACGCCAGCTCCTCAAAAGTAAAGCGGAAACATCTTGATCGCCCCCTAGTGGCTGGCTGCAGCACAGGTCATAAACCCCACCTCGTCCACGTTAGCAGATTCTGGTTTGTTCGACTGTTGTCTGATAAGTTTTAAAGAGGGAAGATGGCAGCACTTTATAAATCAATCAATATTTTATCCCATGCTCACTTTTCTCATCATTTTGATTCCATTCCGTGTCATTTTAAATTTACGTTTTCATTCCATCTGTTTGAAAGTTTCTAATTATGAGCATGAAAAATGATGGATTGAAATAAAAGTATTTGGTTTTTCATGCAGCCATTTATCTAAAAAAACTAATATGTGATTATGTTTTGCAGTTTCCTGGTTTGTCAGAACACGTCTGAAGCAACTGCAGCGAACACAGAAACATATCATGAACACATTTCGGGTAAAAAGAGGATTAAAAATCATCCAGGTTGCCAAACGAGCCACAGCAACAAATAATGTGAAGTAATAACGTAAAACCAGAGCAGTGCATTTTCTATTCTCTTCAAGATTAAATGATAAACTGCTGGAGCTGGATTAAGCAGATTAAGTTGATAGAAAGAGGAGATGCTGCACAACAGGGGAGTGACATTAATCTAACCACACACACGAGTGGACCGTTCTGAGATGAAAATAACGTTGAGGCGTTATGTGCTGAAAAGCTGCTTTATCCCAGGTTGACCTATCAGATTATTGAAGTGAGCGCTGAGCTCAGGTGTCATTTCGGGAAGCCTCGGAGGAACGGGCGAGTTATTTACCATGATTCATAGCAGGGAACGTAGTTCAAGCGAAAATGCGTGCGTCATTTTTCAGATATTCTGTCCCCATAATGGAACTTATATAAGAGGATGTGGATGTAATAGTAGTTTTGCATCATCTTCATTCACTCATTTTACTTTATCCACTGATCCTCACAACACTGCAGAAATCTTACAGGTGTTACCTTTATCTTTATATAGATGCCAAGATTCTTCATATAGATCATGCAGGGGAGTTGTTTTGTAATCCTGCTCACAAATAACAACTAAACAAACTATTACACAAACTGAGAAACAGAAAAACATTATTTTCTTGGCAGAGTTTAAATCTTATATCCACGACCAAAGACTGACGACTTAAATTGAAGTTATTTTCCTCCTTATTATGTTGTGTTGCATAAATCTTAATTACTTTATGACTGACGGCTACAGATGCACATTTTCAAACACCTTTTTTTTTTCCATAAGACTGCATCACGTTAAACCTGTCGATGAAAAGAGGAGCAGGGAGGTGATGTCTTACAGTCGGTGCCACATCGGCAACGTTCTGCAGCAATGTCAGCTGCACATGTGACTGTTACTCACAGGTACAGTCTATATATAGCACCTGTATTATGAATTCATCACATGGACACACACACGTGTGTTAACAGCACTGGAAGCTCAGTCATTATTTCATTATTAAATATTAATACACACAAATACATCCATAATTAAATCCAAAGTGAATCACAATAGACAAGAATGAATGAATTAAATAAAAGGAGTGCAAAATGTCCCCAAGGACCCGACAGTCACTGACTTTATATTTGGATCTACAGCAAAAATCTGCAGAAAATCTGAAATTTCCCCTAAATGTGCCGGATTATTTCCATTAAGATCCATTCATTAATTATTCCCTGTTCAATGGCTGGAAATGTAAAATATATAAGATATATTAATATCTTCACACCAGATTTCATGGAAATCCATTCAGCGATGTAAATGAAGAGACTGATATAGTCAAGTGTTTTAAATGTGCCATTGATTTGAAGAAAAGAAAGCAGTAACAGGTTATTAGACCTTCAGCACAAACTAATCGTTCATACATCAGGCCCCAGGTCTTTCCCTCATGAGCCTTTCCTCCATCATTTCTCCTGCACAGTGTGTTTCCTAAAGCGTTTCCCGAGCTTTGACACAACAGGACTGTTTACTGTAAACAGCAGTGACCAGCGTCCTCAGGCTCAGGGGGAAGTACATTAAACCACCGCTGCTCATTTGTTAATGAGTCGGAAACTAAATATATATCTGAAGTACAGCTGCTTTCAGAGCTGCACTGAAGTCACAATGTTTTATGTGAGAAAGCAAATGGACCAGGCAGTTTGTCAGGAGCTCTCCTGTCAGCCCCTGAGTTAAATATCTGGAAAATGTCAAGAGTGGGCAAATTTTTCAAAATGTGCAGAGACCAAGGTGGGCGTGTTGATGATGTTTCCAACATGCAATGGACACCAAACTGAAAATACCAAATATCTCAGGACAAAACGAGTATAAAACATTGAAGAAGATGTCAAATTGGAAAGATGACGAGATTCAAGAGCTTTTGAGTTAAGAGCCGATGGCGATGTCGACAGTCTGAGCCAGATAATCTCTTCATGTGTGGAAGTCAAACTCCGGAAAAAATATCTGAAAACAGCTAAAGACACAAAAGCTGCAGGTGATGCAAGTCATTGCAGACTGTGCTGCAGAAACTGTCCTGAATCCTGAGCCAGGACAGAAATAAACCCCTGAGATCATCCACAGTTCTTCCAGCGACACTTCAGACGCTCTGACACATTCTTCTGTGGACAGTTGGGCTTCCGTCCTCGGGGCAGCCTGCACAGAAAAACACGCATGCACACTCACACAGTGCGAGACCACAGTGTGACTCATGACTGGTTGACCGGAGAAAGGGAAGGGTCACACGCTCGGTTGTGCCAAAAGTGAAATGTTGTCCTGGAAAGCTCGTCATCAGGGTGAATCTCAATTAGCCTGAAAACATCTAAAAGTGTCTCTTGGAGCGAGACAGTAAAAACAAGAAGATAATTTTGACTTGAAACATTTGGTTTCCACTTCTTCCCTCTGTGGCTTGTTCAGAGTTCCCCTCGGCTTAAATCATCTTCGATGCTTTACATGTAGTGATTATTTTCACATAATGTTGATTAATTTCATTAAGCATTATTGCATATCTGGCCCTTTAGTAGATGTTAGAGTTGCATGGGATGTTTTATTTTTTTAATTGGGCTTAATTCTGTACAAAGTTTTTATTTTTTATCATTGTTTCTTACCTGCAGCGGGAGAATTATTATGTGAATTATCTGTCTTTCTAACACCGGCATATTCATATTTTGTGTTTTATACTTAGTTTCATTAATGTGTTATGACCCTAAGCTAAAAAAAAGAAAATAGAAGTTTTGAGAATGAGGCGACTGTCCAGGATTTAAACAAAAACATGATGTGCTATAACTGAACACCAACTCGACAAGCTGTTATTTTTACTTTGCACTCAGCAGAAACCAGAGCAGTGCAGTGACCTGTACAGAAGAGGCTCTTCTCTTAGCTCCAGACATGACAGCACACACACACACACACACACGTGATCTTTTTGCCTTTAACACAAACATCCCTGCAGATCCGTGCACGTTCAAGCACACACAGTCTAACTTCCCATAGTTTAACTCACATCTGTCAGCGACGGTATCAGCACCAAGCAAATTTGAATTCCTGCAGGAGAATAATAATCTGAATTTGCTCTGCGTGCATCGGTCACTATAT